CTGTTCATTCGTTTATTTCATAATCACTGCCTAAGGGCCTAAGTGTATGCTGGCCTGTGCTAGGATCTGGGGACACAGTGGACATGGAACAGGTTTGCTTTCTGTCCTTGTGGCATTGACAGTCCCATGGGGGAAACAGACAGAGAGAAGAATGAAACAAGCACCTAGAAAAGTACAAACAGGATACGTATAATTCGGGAAACACAGAGGGCACAGACACAAAGGAAAGTGAGGCAAGGGTCCAGAGCGGGACACACACAGAGCTACCACCGAGGGCCCTCTGAATATTTAAGCCAAAGCAAGGATAGCATGAAGGGATTTCAGCCAGAGAAGGACAAATGAAACGTGTGCCAGTGGAGAGCGTCATGTGTGAGGACACTGCCAGTCAAGAAGAGATCTGGGGCCCAAGGGACTACTGAGAGCCACTTGGATGAGGGGAGCCGGTCAGCAGGGCCATCAGGTGGGGACATGTCTTCTTGCTCCTGATGGTCTCTAAGACCTGCACATTGAAGGAAGAAATAAGTGTGTGTTTTTGGACCGTAACTGCCCATGCACCATTCCCTGAAGTCCAGACATGCCCAGATCTGTAAAGCTCCCTGGCAGCTCCCTGCCACCCTCTGCAGCCCCCAGGAGGTGGTGTGTGGTGGTCCCAGGTGCCAATCACAGAGAGTGTGTAGTCTCAGCAAGCCCGGGAAAGAAAAGCTACCATCAATGGCTGCCACATACTTCGACGATATGTCTTCAAAGATGAGAGACTTGAAACATGACCAGAAACGTTTCTTCAACTTCCATTCAGAAAAAACACAGCAGAAGAAGCATCCCAGCTCAGGCCCACTGGGAGATGAGCAAGCTCCCATGGTCCATCCAGTCCCCAGCAAATACAGCCCATTGGCCAGCCTCTGAGCACCTGGCTTTTCCAGCAGAAGCCAAAGCCTGGGGGCCTTTTCATCACTCACAGACCCAGGACCACCACCTCCTAACCCCATGGTGATCACCCAGTTCTTCCTGGGGCTGCTTCCTTTCCCAGGGCAACTGGATGATTCTCTTTTCAATGCTGAGAATGGAACACAGGACCTCATGTATGCTAAGCAACTGCTCTACCACTGGGCTACACCCCCAGCAGAAATGGACTATTTATCCTCCTACCTGTCCAAGGAGGCTGCTCTCACTGAGTCGAAGGAAATTGCCTCTTCCTGTCTTGGGGGCACTCCACCAAGTGAAAAAGGAAAAAACACAAGTTTAATCCCTAGCAGGGCAACACCTCTCTAAAGACAGGCAACAGCACAAATCATGGCAGTGAGGGCTTGTGAGGCAAGTTGCAGGGGAATTTCTGCCATTCAAAAGATAAGCACACCACCACCACCACTCTACCCTGGCATCACTTCTACTTTCCCTATATCTCACCATTAGGGATTCACTGCTTCGTGCTTCCCGGGTGCAGTATTTAAAAACAGTTGATAAGTCATGTATGCACTCTCTCGAAGAAGAGAAGCTATGGAACAGTAGTTCTCAGTCTTGGCTGCATTTTTGAATCACCTGAGACACCTTTTAAAAATACTCAAACTTGGCCCCTTGGAGAAGAGTGGAAACCAGCTCTCTGGAGATGACCTGGGCATCTGCAGTTAGTGCACACTCCCTGGGTGGTTCTGGTGCAAGGTCAGTGCCAAGAGCCATTTCCATGGGCAGAACTTCCCTGTCTGAAATGTCACCTCATTGACCACTTACACTTGATGCAAGGAGAAGCCAGTACTGCTCAGATTGGGGCCTGGGCTGTCTCCTACAGCTAGGCTCTTTCTGCTGGCAGGAACCCTCAGCCAGCGATGAGATGGCACCCCTACCCTCCCTGAGGTTTCACAATGTTCCTGGCAGAGGGGCTGAGGCTAAGAACTCTGGGTTTTGTGGGGGGATGAGGAGAATTGGCTGACTCAAGTAAACACAGATGTGTGGTCAGAACATGGAGCAGAAAGCACGAGAGGTAGGGTGTTCTAACTCAGATGGCTGAAGCAAGTCGTTCACGGTGGCACATTTCAGTGTAACACACACAAACCAGTTCCCACTGCCTCGACCCACAGTCCGCCTCAAAGGATTCGGGGAAAATGAAAATTAATGGGGTGGGGAAGGTAATCAGCAGCAAGTCCCACTTTTGTTAATAACCACCTTCCATCACAGGTAGAATGAGACAGACTGTCCATTCAAGGCCAGGGCCACCTTGGGAAAGGAGACTGGGGGACTTTGAAGGGTCTCTCTCCTGTCGACGCCTCCCCAGGTCATGCAGGACAATCTCACATATAGGACTGTCCCCTTTGAGACTTCACAATGGGAGTACGTTTAAAGATGGGCTTCAGGGACTAGATGGGAATTGTCCATCCAGACTTGGCGGGGCACCTTCTACCCCTGTCCACCCTGAGTGGCCAGCCCTGCCCTCACCGCATTGCTTCTGCTCCTGGCATCTTGGCCTCTCCTCTCACTAACCTCTCCACTTCCACCCTCTGCTTTCCCATCACTGCTGACCATGCTGCCGTAAGAGAAGAACAGCTTTGGTGTTGAGGCTGCTGCAAGCCAATGGGGCAGCCATCAGATCTGAACCCCTAAACTGCCACCCAAGACCTCCAACCAGCCTGATGATAACTCATCCTGACAACCATTCCCACCCTGCCAGGTACCTAAAAAGCAAGATCCTATAGTCAAACATCCCTCCAAGCTGGCTCTTTGTTTCCAAAGACACAGTCATTTCCCACTTGCTTGCTCAGCCTCCCCGCAAGAGACTCCTGTTGCCTGGTGATGGGTGAGATGGGCAAACAGGAAGTCAGCACCAGGTCACTGATGTGCTGAAGGAGCTTGGAGCTGCAGGGCTGCTCTGCCCACCTGCCAGGGAAGCCCCATAGTATACCTCATCCAGCTCATGTGGGCTTGGGGAAGAACAGCCAGTCTTGCCCATAAGGACACAGCTCAGCTGGGAGAAAGAGGGATTTCTGTCATTTCCTGAACACTTTCCAAATGATAGGCACTGTGATAAGTCATTTGCACATAGCATCTCATTTATTCCACACACTAACTAAGCCTGTCCAGTAGGTACAGTTTAATGGTTAAAGCTTGGATTCTGGAGCCAGGATCTCTGCTTTCAGTCTCAGCTCTGCCACTTACTAGCTGTGTGACCTTGGGTGACTTAGCCTCTCTGGGTCTCAAATTCCTGTAACTTATTTGTAAAATGCTGTAACAAAGCCAGGGATGGTGGTACATGCCTGTAATTCCAGCACTCTGGGAGACCGAAGCAGGATTGTAAATTCAAGGATAGTCCGGGCAATTTAATAACTTAGTGAAGACTTATCTCAAAAGAAAAAATAAAAAAGGGTTAGGGATGTAGCTCAATGTGAAGGCCCTGGTTTCCCAGTGGTGAAAAGACTTTTAAAAAAAATTTTTTAATGCAATAATAGTACCTCTCATTAGAGAGTTATGAGATTTCAATATGATTTTACATATATACACATAGTGAGTATTTTTAAAAAGCCAGGCTCCATAGCTTGTTCTATAAATGTTACCCATCTTATTACCAATGTTACCTCATTCCACAGAATACTGAGGCTGCAACACTTGCCCTTGAAAGTGGCAGAGTTGAGATGTGAACCAGCTTCGAAGCTCTTAGCTATAACTTGATGCTGAATGCTTGACTCTTTCGATTAGATCAAAGGTGCTTTTTTTCCCCTGCCAGGCACCCTGAGTGCTCTGTGACTGATGGGCACACCCCTAAGAGCATGAGAAACTGGCAGCTCTGGTCACGGGCAGGGGCTGGTGCCAAGCACAGGGAGCCCTTCCTTTGGGGAGCTGGCTGAGGTCTCCCTCCGCTTTGTCTCTACCAGGAGCCTCCATCTACAGCAGGTTCCTCTCCTACCTCTGTGTGAGATGCTGGAAATGTGAGGCAGGGACTAGTCAGCCAGGTGGGGGACCAGGGAAGAGCACACACAGCCAAATGTGACTGTAATGTGGCCTCTGGTCCTTGTCAGAGGGGCTCCACCAGACCACTCAAGAGCTGCACAGGGTTATTCTTCCTGCCCTAACTGGATCGGAAGGAGTAGGACCAGGTTCTGGTCCGTATAGCGAGGCTGTGGTGGTAAAACATCTGCTTGCTCAGCATTTATCCCATTCTTCTGGAAACAGTGTCTGGGGTTGCTTTGGGGAACCACCTCTCATGTCCTCAGTTCGGGTGGAACAGAGGGCTCACTCCAAGCAATCATATGACCTCACTTTGACTGACCAATCTGAACACCACACCTTTCTAGCTATTGTAATTGATCCAAGGATGGCTACATTTCAGAATCCAGGCAAATCAGAGCAAAAAAGAGTCAATTCCAGGATTATTTTTAGCATAATTAGGGAAGAGGAATTCTCTTCATTGAATTTAAACTTGAGGGTACAGGCGATGAGACTGGAGCCAATGGGTGTCATCTTGCTACCATGAAAAGAAAGCCAAAGAAGAGACCAAGGGAAACAGAGTCACAATAGCATTGTTCTAGGTCCTAAATGTAGCTGTACCTGAAGACAATTCCAAGGCACGATAGTTACCTAAACGAAAATATTTCCTTCCTTGATAGTTTCTCTTGGGTTTGGTGACTTGAAAATGACTTTACAATAGAAGTAAGGAGAAAAGAATGAAAAGTTCTGAAATAGAGTTGGAGGGGTTTAGGGCCCTGCCTGTCCGGTGTGCTGGAGATGGGAGAGTCATGGCCTCCTGTGGTGGATTAACTAATGGTCAACTTGTAACGCTCAGCTGAACTGAATCAGCGTGGTGTAGGTGTGGAGGATCCACCTAAAGATTGTTACCAATAGCCATAAAAAGAGAACTGGAGGGGAAGATCTTGGCCTGTGGAGAAGCTTGCTGCAGATGGTTTTCCTGATGCAAACTAGGCTGTTCTCGTTGGAAGAGGAGCTCAGGGCCTTGCTGTCACTGGGAATGGCTGCTGTTTTCATCAGGGGAGCTCTGATCTTCACCATGAGCATCACTTCTTGGCTCCAATGTGGATCCCTCAGCGTGGTGGCACAAACCCTTCATCTCACCAGCGTAAGTTTTCTGGCTTCCACCTCTGACCTTCCTCTCCCTCATGGGGAGTTCTAGCATTAGCCAGAGCCGTACTCAAGAAATAGCAGAGGACTTTCCAAAGAAGTGGGGTGAAGTATCACATCTGGCCCCCAGCCGGGCCAGAAAGGACAATGGGAATTTCAGCATTGCATTTTGGAGACACTGGGTTCTTTATGGCCCAGAAATCAATGCATCCTCACAGGGAGCCTCCATTTGAAAGGAGCATGGCATTGATTCTGGGTGAGCTGGACCACAGATTTATTAAGCCAGCCTGACTGATCTCATGGCTGTGCACTCGCCAAAGCTAGCTGGTCAGAAATATTTGACTCCAAACAGCTAATGAATCAGGACTCAATAGGCAATCAGGATGGAGCTGAGGCCCCTGTTGCCCCCAAGCCTCACTTAGCATCAGGACTAGAGGAGCTGCTCCAGGGTTGGCCTGGGGGCCATGAGGGTCTGGATCCTTCACAGACCAAAGAGGGAAAGTGCCTGAGCCCAAGGGGCTGAGTCTTCTATGGAGACTGGGAGGAGAGAGCTGCTCCCATACACAGTCCACCTGCCTGGCAGGATTTGGGGCAACTTAGGGAGAGGAGGAAAATCACAGCAAGCCCCTGTGACCAGGGGAGCTCCCATCCCCTTGCTATAGATCGGGAGCAGCCTCCACAGGAGTGTCCCCAGTGGTAAACTTGGTGGGAACTTGGGAAACAAAAAAGGGACAGAAGACAGAGCACAGAACAGCAAAAAGTCAAGCAAAGGCAGGAGAGATCAGAGGTGAGCCTCAGTGCCAGAGTCGGGGTCACAGCTGGGCCTCAGAGAATGTGGGGATTCATTACGAGGCAAAGATAAGGACCTCTCTCAGAAGAGCTTTTCTGCAGTCGGGGAAGTCAGACTGATGTGACTCAGTTTCTTGGCCCTGTTCTCATGATGATCAACCCATTGCTATAGAATGAAGAGGAAGATGGCGGGTGAGGAGAAGAGAAACAAGGACAGGGATTGTCCTCCACTCTGTGGCTAAGAGATGGGGGCCCTTTGCTTTCTTAACACCTGAATGTGGCTGGCTGGATCTTTCAGGGTTCTTTGGGGACAGGCAACAGAAACTAACCCTTGCTGACATTACCACAAGAGGAGACTCCCCGAGAAGGCGTGAGGCAGCTCTTGGAATGAGAGGAAAAGCCAAAGTACAGAACTGCATTCAGAAGGGCAAGGGGGAGAGATGTGAGAGCTGGAGTCCGCACAAAGTCTCCTGGGACTGGAGCCAGGTTCTAGCCATTTTTCATCTTGAGAGAGTGATTCTTACTGACTGCCACTCACATGGCCCACCCATTGGCTGGAAAGGCAAACAATAGGAGACTCTCATTGGCTAAGCTCAACTCCCTATTCTGCCCATTTACAAACACTTGATTGACAGCACTGCATAGTGGGTGGGATAGGCAGGTCCATCACTAAAAGCAAAACCAATGATCTTACCAGAAATGGAGTGGAAGGGCAGGAGAGGTGGATGTTAGACAACAAACAACAACTGGCAGGACAAGAGTCATTAATGCTCCAGCTCAGGACAGATTATTTTGCCAAGAATCCCACATTACCCAGGATCTACTTAGACCAGATTGAGTGATTAGGAAGACTCTCCAAGTCCTGACTAAGGAGGGAAAGGGACCAGCCACAACAGCTGCACTGTCACTGCGTTTACCGAGTCCTCACCTCGTGCTGGGCAGGGAGCTGAGAGCATTTGCACCCATGATCTCATGTCAACTTCCTAACAGCCGCACGAGGTGATGGGCTTTTAAATGAGGCCCCTGGAGCTCAGCTAAGGGACTTGCCCGGAGCACATGGTTCCTAGAGTCAGGACTGCAGGTAGAGCTGTCAGACTCTAAAGCCTGTGTAATAAAACACTGTGCCATGTGGACTCCCAGGAGGCAGAATGGGAGCACAAATTGGGAGAAATTCAAGGAAGACCATAAAGAAAAGGGAGAAAAGCAAGAGAAGGAGTGAGCTTGGGGGGAGAACACAAGGGGCCAACATGGGAAGGAGGGAACCAAAGGCTGGGCATGTCCCTTTTGCTGCCAGCACCAACTCTCTTCACTGTCGGACTCCCTCCAGCCCCCATTTCCTTTTGCCATAAGGTAGCAGGCACAGTTCCCGGTTGTGACCCAACCGCATAGACCAGTGTCACTGGGGGCTGTTGCACCACATGTGGATGTCCCCAATTATCTTGGGGCAGAATGGGGATGACAAATGCTCAGCTGTCTGTGCTCCAGATAACATCCTGGAATTTTTGGTGCTTTCTGCTTTTCCTCTCTTAAAACCCAAGGGTCAAAATCAGGGAAAACTGAGTGGATTTCCCATCGATTAAACACCTACTAAGAGCCAGGTGCTTTTCCTACATTGTGTCATGTCTAAGCTCAGGGTAATCCAGAGAGGTGAGGATGCTGATCTCCATTTTCTGTACCCTGATCCTGAAGCCAAAGAAGATGAGCTAGGGTCTCTTCTCCTTTTTGGTGTGGTTACTAGGGAGAAGACAGCTACTTTAAAGCTCACCTTTCTGTCTGGCATCGATGCCAGGACTGATGGTGCTGGGTGGCCCAGCCCTTGCTTTGTCTGCTGGGCTCAGGGTCCCTGACACCTGCAAGCCTGCCCTCACTAAGTGACGGCCCCACTTAACCAAAGTTTGTAAAAGAGCACCCTGGGAGAAGAAACAGTCTTATCTAGCCAGAGCCCTGCTAAAATCCCAATAAGCCTACTGTGAGCTAGAGATTGAAGTGCGATTTTGGCATCTTTCCTCTGGTGTGGAAAGAGATTACACTGAGTCATATTTCAAAAAGGCACGACTGACACAGTATAATCTCTGGTCTTAACTCCCCCTGACCTTGAGAGAGCAGCAATAAAGTGGAGGGGCCGCAGCGGCTGGGAACACAGACATAGACAATCATGGAGCAGCTCAGCTGCCAGGAGAATCCCATCAGGCCCCTGTCTGAGGCCAGGTGGAGATGTTCCTGCAGGGCCAGCTCAGTTCCCAAAGCCATTCGGCAGCAGGGTGTTAGGCTTTTCTTTTCCCACTACCCCAGCCAAGGATCAGGGTTCAGCATCATTTTCCTAGTACTCCAAGCCACCTGTTCCTGTCCTCCCCAGCACCTCCCTGCCATCAGGCCCTGAAGGATGCCCAGGACATCCCCCCCTCTGCCTCTGCTCTCCATTCTGTCCCTTTCCCAGTGACAATAATGAAGCTGAAGATGTCAACAGAAAAGGCATCGATCTGTTTATCTATCACTTGCTAATCAAAAGTTTCCTGCCCCCCGTTAAAATACCAATGATTTCCTTTGCGGAATCAAACAGGTCTGTTCCCAGAGACTAAGCGTGCTGGCAGAGACAGTTTAATTACCGTCTTTGTCACTGCTTCCCTGAATACCAATCTTTCCCGAGTTACATGATGAGCACACATTAGGGGAAGAGTTAAATCAAAAAGCAGGAACCAACTAATTGCAGCCTGTCTCTGGTGGAACTGGGCTTCCCTGTTCTGGCTGATTCTTCCAGGGTCCCAGGATTCCAGAGCAGCCAGCCCAGGAATTCCAGCACAGTTGGAGGGGACCTGCTGTTGTCTTCTGAGTTCCTTTAATACATAATAAACTGGACATGATGCTAGACCCTGGACTCTAGATTCAAAGCCTGGTTCTATCTTTGAGTCTCAGATCTGGCCACTATTTCTTCTAAGAGCCTCGGTTTTCTTGCATGTAAAATGGGGATGTTAAATATCTGCATAATGGGCTGCTGTGAGGATTAAATCAAATGACACAGGCAAAGCCTTGATCACACTGAGAGGTCAAATAATGAGAGCTGTTATTAACAGTAATCACTACATGTTACAATAAGCAGGCACGTATAACAGATATCATATTTTATTATAAAACATGCTACTAAACAGAACTGTTTATGACTGTAGACTACTATTATAGAATACAAGATGCACTGTCTCCTCTGCACAAGGTTGTACTCCAAGTATCTAGAGCTGTGCTGTCTGTAGGTGATGCTCCGAGGGCAGGGAAATGAAATTTTAGGACAGCCAAGAATGGTGCATAGTAACAGCTTGAGCACAATTCCACCCCCGCCTCATTCTGCATGCAAAGGTAAAGTAAACCTGGTCACCTGAGGGAGGGTCCACTCAGCCTTGCCCTCTTTCCTCCATGCTGAGGGGCCTTGCTGGGCTTCAAACTCCCAAGCCGTCCACAGGAGCCTGAGGACCTCCCACCTCGGTGGGCAACCCATGGGCATAGCCAGAGAGCCAGGGTCCCTCCCTGTCACCTGGAAATCTATTTGACAGGATGATTGTCAGATGACACCATTAGGAAAAGAATAAACATGAAAAGCAATTTTTAGATTATATCTTTTAAGTAAAGTGATAAAATTACTTCCAAAATAAACAAAAGTACGTTACTTCTAAAACAGTTGGGTCAATGTCTCCCATATTCCTCCATCACCATCCCGGGTCTTCATTTCACATACACACTTGTGCTCACACTCATATACATACACATATATATTCACACATATATACACATGCATACTCATACGTGCACACACACACTTAACACTCATATATACACTCACACACATGCATACATATATATGCATATGTATGCATGCAGATATAAGCTCACACACTCATACACATGCACACACAGACACATACCATTAGTTCTCTTCCTGCACTAATTTCCTCCCTTCCCATGGGACAGAAACTGGGTTTCCCTTGCCTGCCTTGGGGACCAGCTAGAAGCAATATCCTCAAATCACTGACTCTCACTTTTTGTCACCAGTGGCCTTGAGGAGCATCACACTGATTGGAGGTTAAGCACACCAACCCCAGTGGCTGTCTCAGCCTGGGCAATGGGCCTTTCTGCAATGGCCCAGCCACAGGCTCCTCCTTGCCTGCAGCTTCTTCCCCTGCATCCTGACCTTTGTCCTGAGCAAAGTCAGTAAGAGAAAGA